CGTAGTTGAACATCAAATGATATGATATAGAATTAAGCCCTTTAATATTACACACACTAAAATAATGCCCCCCCCCCCCCCCCACGTGGCACAGCGGTAGAAATCGGGTTTCTATACCCATGGTGGGCAGAGCACAGATAGTCCTTGTGTAGCTTTGTGCATAATTAAAAACAAAACAAAACAAAATAACAAACTAAAATAATCGAAACCCCTCCAACATCTTCCAATACATTAGTTGAACTGTTTCTAAGGTCTTTTGTTGAACAATGAGAATTTATTCATTTTAGTACAGTTTAATGTGGCTACAACGCCCTAAATTATATTCTTAGTTTGTAATGCTATGTGGTATTCGTACAACTGATATCCATAAGAAAATATTTTAAGGTATCCACAGAACACAGTTCCAGATAGTTATATAGAGTTATAACGAACTTGGACAACAAGAGAAGACAAATAACATAAGTGAAGAAACAAAACAATCTTTATATATAAACGACAAGTTTGTGTCGTGTACTTTCTGACCAGCTCACTGTTCGCTTTAATTCGTACTGACTGCTGTGGATGGAGAGAGGTTTTTTTCAAAAATGTCCACATAAGACAAGGACTAAACCAAGTATAATGTGATAATGCACGTTTAGGTCAGACCAGAGTTCTAATGCAATGTCTCACAATTCTTAGATTGCCTACGTCAAAGATCATTCTAAATATACAAACTCAAAGGAAATAAACCTTAACTCATACCAATTTGTACATGTTTTTGAATCACTTTTGAATGAGTAAGACCCTAACCATGGAGTATGATACAGAAACGATTTCATATTTGCATAAGGTCTATGAATGAACTAAAGCAAAGATATTAGTAATTTTTTATATCCTACATTCTTCCTGTCAGGTTTTGAATATGGGCTGGGATTTCTTTACAGTAGGTGTCTTTAACTTGTTGGTGATAAATTCGAACAATAAACTGACAGCACACAATTTACTGTTTTAAAATGATATATTAAAAATAAGTCAAACGTAAGTACAAAAGTTCTTTACACTATATGATATCGAAGTTGTATATAAAACTTTAAATAATTCCCTTTTCTTGTCAAAAGCCCACACAGGCAGATTCAGTTACTTTAGGATACAACTGACAAGACGAATTATTTTTCTCTACTCCGTTTCTTACAATACGATCTATGATAAATTCACTTACGTTACCCAGTGGGTTACCACAGTTGTATCCACATCTGTAAATAATTGTCTCTTTTTTCGTCAAAAGTCCACACAGGCTGATTCAGTTAATTTAGAACCCAATTGACAAGATAAACTATTTTTTTTCTCTGTTGTTACAATACAGCTTTGAAACACACTAAAGAAATCATCATTAAGGCTAATCACTCACACACCGCCTAACTTAACGTTTTTAACTTTTTTTCTGACTTACTTGTTCTCGCTTGGTCGCCTATTTAGACAAATTGCATGAGTATATCATAAGGGGGTGTTGCAAAATAAATCACACTTTTTCCCCGAGAGCATAACAAAGTAAAATAATATTATAATTCAACCAAAAAAGTAATTCCAAGTATCAATATCGCTTGATTGGGCCACCATTGTTCTCACGCACGAATTTTAATCGATTTGGAAAAGATTTCAGCAATGCAACAAACATGTCTATTTTTGTGGCTGTCTCTGTGAACACATCAGTGAGAACACAAATCAAGGTTTCACGTTTGGGTCTCTCGCATTCAGGCAAAGTTTCCAACATTTATTCTGAGCATTGTTGAACGAAAGCTCCGACATTTTCGGCGGGATTTAAATCTGGAGAGTTCCCAATCCACATTCCACCACTTTTTCACGGATCACTCTTTCAAATTCAACAATTCTGAAACTTTGAGGCATTAATCAGATTTTTCAAATCTGACATTGCGATGTGTCGATTGGAAGATTTGAATTATTGGAGCGTGTCTGCGACTAGTTTCTGAGCCATCTCAAAGGCAGCATATGCGACACGAATCTGAGTTCTAGTGAGCACCATGATTCAAAAGTTTTCGCAAAAAAATTAAATTCGAAAAGCCAAACATCCAAGAATACGTTGAAATGACGTTACTCACGAGTGATGATATTCGCAGTCCTACCAAGTTCGTCATTACTTTGGGGAAAAAGTATGATTTATTTTGCAACACCCCTTACTACATATATATTTTGAAACAGTTATGGAAGGGTGAAATTGACATTTACTTTAACTGTTACAGCTATATCCAAGTTAGTTTCATGAGCTTCATCTTCTTATAGGTTTCTTTGTATCAGTTCAACCATATTTTAGGCAATAGGAATAACTGGCTGAAAACTGAAAAGACAAAAAAGATCTAGTTATTCCCATGAATGTTTTCTTTAAATACGTTTTAAGATTTTCATGCAAACCAACTCAAATATCTTTCATCTTCCAGAAGAGCTGGTTGGTCAAGTTTCGAGAAAATCTGAGAAATCAAGACAGACAGCCTGAAATATATCGTAGAGTGAAGCGAATGACAGAAATCTGTGAAAAATACAACATGAAAGGAAAATTTTCTTCTTACAAAGAAATTATTCGTGGTGAATTTCGCTACGTCGCCCTCAGGATAAGTAACGAACCTTTGCTGAAACTTCGAAGCAACCGGGACTACAAGATGGCAACGTGTGTTAACCTCAAGTCTGGAAGCAGTAGTGCTTTAGGCTTTTTATTCATAGTTCCAAATAATCGACATAAATATCCTCATGGTGATGTACACTTAAGAAGTAGAACACCCTATATTTGCCTCAGTTTTGAAGAATATAAAAATGGCTCATTTCCTGGCTTCTTGCTTTACATGTTTGTACGTCATCCTTTTACACGACTAGTGTCTTTCTATCGCGATCACATTCTTTATCATTACAAACTGAACAACACCGAAAGAACACCAAACCTGCCAGATGTTCACAGTGAACTGACGCTTCCTATGAAATATTTAGAAGGAAAACCAATTACCTTTCGAGATTTTATACAGGCTGTGCTTCATGCTGATTTTCACAATCCAAAGACATTTGACTACCATTGGTTACCAATATGGATGACGTGTGCACCTTGCCATATTCAGTACAACTTTATAGGAAAAGTGGAAACTATGTCTGACGATTTGATATACCTAAGTTCACTCACAGGTCTCACGGCAGAGCTGGCAGAACGACCTGAGGTTATGTGGTTACATCAAAGTGGAAGAAATAATGTCAGTTCTTCAGCACTAACACGTCAGTTTTTCTCAAGTATTCCAAAGCACGAGATTGACCAACTGTATGAGAAATACAAATTAGATTTTGAACTGTTTGATTACTCGTTAAATGAAGTATTATGAATAAAATAGTAAGTAATATATATGTATAATAGTGATTCACAGGGGGCAGATTCAGTAGGGCAGAAAAATGAAAATGCGAATTTTGATGGAAAAAAATGTGAGTACTAGTAAACTGTCTTACTATACATTGAGCCAATTAAACTGAGTTTAACCTTCTCACTGTCTATTCCCATGCTATATTTAATTGCTGCTACGCCATTTAAATCTACCACAAGAAAACATAAAACTGTAAGTGTTTGTTGAGTTTAATATAGCAACTTTCAAAAGGAAGCTGATATTTTAAATGTGATGACCCAAACTTACTAATATCAGTTTTTCTTTGAGAACAAGTTCATGGTTTCTAATATTTTATACGAAAAGAGAAAAAGACATGTTACGTCGCAGTTTGTTCGCTGTTATATCGTTATGATTATAATTATAAAATAAAATGACCATAATATAATTGTCATTCATAATAGTATATGTTGTAGAAAGGAATATTATGGGCTTTTTAAACAGATACGTGTCTAGCTGAACAAAAATGTTATTTTATACACCATTAGATAACGTCGTGTTTAGGGTGATGTAACGTGATGCAAGTGGTGTAAAGTTTTCGGATGCAATCCTTGTAAATTTTTCCATTCGCTAAATTGTTTGAGATTGTAACTCGTGATTTCGCATCTTCAGTGATTAAGTTCCTAATAACCATTGTGTAAGTAAAAGGAACATACCAACTGACTCGTAGATACATCACTTAACGTTGCTTTTGTCGATATTGTTATTATTCCAAATGGTAAGTGTTAAGTGTATGACTGATTTGTATTGAAGGGTTTGTTTGTGATGTGACCTGATAACAGAACCATGTGAACCTCCAATCTTAAGTAATAGTGCCGAGATAAATAAAAATAGTTATAGAATGATATAAAATTAAGAAAACATATAAAAGAAACTTTGGAAATCATGTATTTTAGTCCCATACCTCGGTTTGTTTCGTAAGGCGGAATGTACAATAACGCTATCTACATCTATGGACACCTTATGAAACAAACCAAAGTAGGGAGCTAAAATATATTATAGCCGAATCCAGGGATGCAATTAGAGAGGGTAGGGTGAGATGGGGGCTCGGTGTCTCAATTTGAATATTCGGATCTGATGACAAATTAAATATCATTTGAGTAATTTTGAATGCCCATGATCTTGTCAGTGATTTAACCATAGCATAATACAATATTTTGTACTACAGTTTGCTGTAAATACTGCCTAAAGTTAAGTTTTTACAAATAGCAGTAACAGTAATAGGCCTAACCCACAGATGGCTATTGAGATAAGCGAAACCAACCTAATTTTTGCTTAATGTAAAGCAATTATTGCATCCTAACATTATTAAACTTTAGGCATGAAAAGTAATTAATATGTTCTTTGGTTTTATTTTCAGTGGTTGCGAATTCCTTCAGAACTTCCTTAATATACCAATTTCTGAATTCAAGGTGAGAGGTGTATTCAAACATGTCATTAAAATTAGGGCAGCAGATGACACTTGACTCCTTTGTTATTACAAGGTCATCCAGATGAGTACAATCGAAACTGGTTGCTGATATAATACCAGAAGTTAATGTTTACAGCTCGGGAATCTTACGTTTACAATCTGCGAAACTTGATTGGGCAAATACAAGAGGACTGTATCTATTATACTGGCAACAAGTTTTCAGGAAAATGCCATTGACAAATATATCAATGTGGTTGAACCAGTTGATGATCATATTCAATGTGAAGCACTAGAAAGGCCATGAGTGCCACCAGTCGTTTACCAATTGCCATTTTATATACACAGAAAAACACGAAAATAAGATAAACGATACTTGAACGCTTCTCATTTACAGAAGGTTCATTAACTAATGTATTCTTATGTTATGAAAGGTCTCTTTTGCAAAAATTAGGCGTTTTTGGTCATAAGTGTAACTTCGGGGCTAAATAGTCAAATAACCATCTAAAACCTTGCCAGAAAGCCTGTTAACGTTTGCCAAACTTTTTGGCAAGGTCGGTGACTTGACATTGCAAGATACTTTTGACTATCAACGGAATGCAGTAGAAGACATAAAAACATTCCTCATTACCTATCATTTTCACCGTATCAGTGACAAGTAAATGAAACAAGTAGCCGATAAAAGAGCAAGGTTGAGGCCAATTGTGGAATAGACTCTTTGAAAGACATAATATTCCTTTAAGAGGTCACAGAGTTGAAGGCAACTTGAACTTGAAATAAAACCTTTAGAGACCAAAGGAAACATTAGAGAACTCCTACATTATCGTATAAATGACGGTATTGCCATCTATACAACAGCATTTAAACACTGCTGGTTCGACTGGTACGTATCTAATGTATATAGCTAAGTTTGTGTCTGTTCGCACCTTTGAGCCTTTATAATAGTGGGCCTATAAAGATATGGAATCAGCGTACTCAGGTTTAATATTTGTGACATCACACATCTACTATCAATGAAAACTTTGTAATTTAATTTTTTTTTCACACAAGATGGTTTGTTTGTTTGTTTGAAGTTATGCCCAAAGCTACACAATGGGCTATTTATGCTCTCCCCACCACGGATATCGAAACCCAGTTTCTAGCGTTGTAAGTCCGCAGACATACCGCTGTGCCACTGGGAGACCCACACAAGATGGACAGAATTTTTTGTCTGATTTAAGTGGAAATTACGTCGGAAATATTGATGTGTATTTTATAGGGAGGTTTGCCATGATGTGTATTTTATAGGGAGGTTTGCCATGATGTGTATTTTATAGAGAGGTGTGTTGTTGTGGTTTTAGAATAAAAATCCATCAAACGCTTTTGTCTACTGACAAACAAGACTAACGTTTTTATAGAATAGACAAGTTGAACCCATGAAATTCTGCAAAAATAAATTGGTTTTAATTCACTTTTGGAAAGGAGAGGGGAGTTAGGTATGATAAACATTTCTGACGCTGATTATGTACCACAGAGTAAAATGTCGAGAAAAAAACAGTATTGATTTCCAATCCCAAGCAGCAAAACGTATGCAACAAAAGCAACAGAGTGATGCTCCACAAGAAAGGGAAACACGCCTTAGCAGCTAACGAATAAAACAAACTGCTCATCCTCAGGCCGAGATTGAGCAAGAGCGGTAATTTCGCAGAGACAGCGACGTCATCCGCCATGCAGAGCGTCGTTCGCAAGAAACATCAAGAACACGTGACCTTCGTTTGATCCTTTATGTTTAAAAATAGCTAAACATTGACTCTCTGTTCAAGTAATACCCGGCTAGTATTAGTATAACGAGTTAGAGTCAGTTGTTCAAGTAATACCCGGGCAACGCCGGGTAAGGATAGCTAGTATTAGTATAAGGAGTTAGAGTCAGTTGTTCAAGTAATACCCGGGCAACGCCGGGTAAGGATGGCTAGTATTACTATAAGGAGTTAGAGTCAGTTGAGAGAATGTTTCAAGTAATACCCGGGCAACGCCGGGTCAGGACGGCTAGTATAACGATTCAGTTGAGAGAATGTTACACCAAAGTAATCACTCGAGTTGTCTTGGAAGAAATGATGGTGGTTAAATATTGCAACGTTATTCTTTGCTTCTTGCCATGAAAGCAAAAGACGAGAATACTTTGTAAAGTTATTGACATTTATGATATCAGATTTGATAGCAATTCTCAAAATTTTGAGCTTACTGTCAGTAGAGACACAGCTGAACAGTTGTTTTTGATTTTCTTGATAGACTTCAGATTGGATAATTGTTTAATTGTGTTGAAATGGGAGTCGACAGTTGTGTCTTAATGGTTTCACACCACTGCAGTTCAGTAACAGAGATACAGTATGTCAGAATTCAAAATAGAAAAAATATATATAACTTTCTTTTTTGCCAATTGTCAAATAGAAAGGGTTCTAGTTATATTTCTTAATAGTATAAATATATACTATGTTGTTGTTGGACTTGGGATTCTTCTATAGTAGGTGTCTGTGACTTGTTAGCGATAAATTCAACGATGAATAAGCAGCACGCACTTCACTTGTTTTCAAAATGATATATATATATATATTCAGAACAAGTTAACGTATGTACAATAAATTCTTCAACATTATAGATATTATGGACATATCATAAACACTATATATGTAGTTCTCTCCTTCTTGTCAAATATCCACTTAGGCCTATTCAATTACTTTAGAATTTCAGTTGACAAGCCGAACTATTTTCTCTATTTCTATCGCACTAGTATTCGCCGTAATTCACTTACAATTCTGGCTAGAGTTACCGTAATTGTTTGGTCTTCTTTCTTTTGAAGATCCTCTGTTCCTTTTGTCAAAGTGCATTCAGGCTGATTGAATTACTTTAGAACCACGCTTTGACGGAATAAAATTATTTTTCTTATCTTTTTTTTTCTACTGTTAGTTTCACTCTAACATTAAACGTTAGGCCTATATCAATCGTTAGGGCTATCACTTCTATGGGATTTAGCTTCACACCAACTTTATTCTCTTTTGCTATTATCTGCTTCTGTCTGTTGTTCCCACCCGTCTCACGCTGTTATATCTTTATCACTTAATCATCTGTTCACCTTCAATATTTTCGACGTCAATGAATTATTAACAAAACGTCCAACAGTCGTTTGCTTTTAACTCTTATTATAACAAAAACTAAACAATAATAAAATATTCATTTACAAAATAAATTAATCACTAATATCTAAACCAAAAAGTCTTTTATATCATGACACAATATGTATTTAAAAACATTTTAGCTGCCCTTGCTTTAACGGTGGCCTAAATCTTTCCTTGATACCTGTTTGGAGTATCAGAATTGCCATTGGAATGATAAAGGAAGTTTTTGCATTTTTAATGTATCAGCAAAGCAAAATTACATGTCAGTTCATTGGAATGTGCAAGAAAAATGGATTGAGTGACACGACTCTTTAATGCAGTTCGCTTCAGAGTTCCATTTATCATAAAAACTCTGGATTACATAAGCAACTGAAAGAGATCTCTGAATACAACCACAGCTAAGACATTACTCTTTGCAGTTAGCTCCACCAAATTTGTGAGGTCGCACTAATGTTTGCTTCACATTTTCTCCTTGACTTTACTTCTAAGTCAACTGTTTCAGAAAAAATATCCA